GTTTTCCCACAGCTTCTCCAGCATTTGTCATTTCCCCCTTTTTTTAAATCAGTCTTGACAATCTGATAGGTTTGGGGTGGTATTTCACAGATGTTTTGTTTTGCATTTCTCTAATTATTAGTGATTTAGAGCACCTTTTAAAAATATGGCTATAGATAGCTTGGGTTTCTTCCTGTGAAAACTGCCTATTTATATTCATTGAGTGTTTCTCAATTGGAAAATGGCTCTTATTTTTCCCTATGTATCTAATAACAGATCTTTATCAGAAATTTACAACAAAGACTTGTCCCCAGGTTCTTGTTTTTCTTCTAATTATTGCAGCCTTGGTTTTGTTTGTGTAGTGCTTTTAAATTTTATGTAATCAGAGTTTTCCATTTTATATCCTGTGGACCTCTCTATCCCTTGTTTTGGTTATGAACTCTTCCCCATCTCTGCATCTCACAGGTAATTTCTTATATACTCTGAGTTCAATTTGTGTATGAAGTCACCCTTAATGTCTAAATCATGTATACATTTGGAACATATCTTGGTATATATATTGTGTGAAATGTAGGTTTATATACTTAGTTTCTGCCAGACTGTCTTTCAGTTTTCTTTTCTTTTCTTTGGTGAGACAATCAGGGTTAAATGACTTGCCCAGAGTCACACAGCTAGGGCGTGTTATGTGTCTGAGGCTAGATTTGAACTCAGGTCCTCCGAACTCCAGGGCTGGTGCTCTATCCACTGTGCCACCTAGGTGCCCCACTGCCTTTCAGTTTTCTTAACAGTTGTTGAATAGTGAGTTCTTGCTCAATCCTGAGATCTTTGAGTTTATCAACACTAGGCCGTTGTGCATGTTTGCATCTGTATAGTAGTGTATATTCTGCTGATCAACCTCGCTATTTCTTACCCAGAAACAAATTGTTTTCATTATTACAGTTTGAGATGTGGTACTTTTTGTTCCACGGGATGAAATTTTTTTTAAAGCACCATAAACTAATTCTTTGCTAGTTTTACTAGTGTGACACAGAATAAGTAAATTAAGTATTGTCATTTTTATTATATTAGCTCAACTTAGCCATGAGCAATTGATATTTCTCTAATTATCTAGCTGTCTTTATTTTTATAAAGAGTGTTTCTGTGTTTATATAATTCCTCTGTGTGTGTGTGTGTGTGTGTGTGTGTGTGTGTGTGTGTGTGCAGTTAGACTCCCAGGTATCTTATATTATTTGTAGCTATTTTAGATGAAAATTTTCTCTCTCTTCCTGCTGGATTTTGTTGGTAATAGATGGAAATGTTGATGATTTGTGTTTATTTTATACCCTGCAACTTTCCCGAGCTTGTTAATTGTTTCGCTTAGTTTTTTATTTTTATTTTTTTTAGTTCACTCTCTAGGAACCCAGTGCTTCTTGAGGTAGCCATTGCATGTAATCTTTTGAAAAGCTTTTATTGTTTGTAAATTTCCCCCTACTTCAAGCCTATTTCTATCATCTGGGATGAAACAAAACAAGCCTAACTCCCTATTCATATGATAGCCCTCAAATACTTAAAGACAGCTGGCATGTCTTTCCTTCTGTTCTCTCAGGTAAACATTCACCATTGTCTGTCTAATCCCTTTATTGCCATCCTGTTCATTCTTCTGTGGAGATGCCATAACTTGTCAATATCCTAAAAATCTGATACCTAGAACTGAATAAAATACCTTGATCAGGGTACAGAGCACAGTCGGATTACCACCTACCTTATTTGGATGCTGTGTCTCTGAATGCAGCCTATAATAACGTTAGCTTTTTTCCCCCAGCCATAGCATACTTTTGACTTATTTTTGAGCTTGTAATTTACTATCCCCTACTTTTTCTTACACAAGCCATTGTCTAATCATACTTTCCTCATCCATTCTTTGTGAAATTAATTTTATATTTATTCCTATTAAATTTCATCTTATTAATGATTCAACCCTCTAGCACATTTAGATTTTTTTTTTGAGCTCCAGTGTCATTAAATGTGTTAGCTATCCTAGTTTCTTGTCACCTGAATTATTTGATAAGCATGGCTTCTGTGCCTGTGTTGAAGTCATTGATAAATGTTAAACAGCAGATCCCTTGGGGTCCTATATTATAAACTTCCCTCCAACTGAACCTGAACCATTAATGATTACTTTTAGGTCCAGACTTCAAATATTTCTGAGTCTAACTAATTTTGTTATCATGTAAATCACATTTCTCTATCTTATCCACAAGAATAACATGAGAGACCTTGACAAATGCTTTACTGAAATCTAAATTTTCCATTAGCAGCCCCTCATTTATCAGCCTAATTACCATTTAGTTTACCAACTCATCTGTTTAATCTGTTTCATTTACTAACTCATCTACTAATCATCTGTTTGTGATAATACATCCTAATGCTTATCTTCAAATAATTTGGGCTGTGGCGTAAAAAACCATTATGACCTACTGTAGTTTTTTAAGTTGTTCCAGGATTGCAGTGGTTCACTTGCATTGTATTGTCCCACCTTGTTCCCTTTGTAAAGAGTAGTACATATTTGTGACCCAACTGCTCAGGGTTACGAGTATACTTGGTGTCCATGGTATCTAAAATATCTAACTGGCAAGCATAATCATAACAATACATCATTTGTATAGTACTTCTTTACAAGGTACTTTTAGATACATTTTATCTTCATTGAGTTTCCCTCCCCCTTCAAAAAAACAAATCAAAGAGCAATTAAGATGTAAACTGACAAAAATGATAAAGAAGATTAATAATTGACTCTGTATACAAAGGAGTGTTAATATCTCTTAACCTCCAAGAGATAGTCTAATTCCCCTTCAGCCCCTCTTAACTCTCCAACATAGTTGGAAGACACATTCACTTTGTGTTCACAGATAAATGTGGCAATATTTAATGTTTGGTGTGGTCTTTTACCTCAACTCTGTCATTGATTTAGTTTTCATGGCAGTGTATGTATATATGCATGTATATGTATGGATTATTATTTATTCCATACCACATATGAGAAAATTGTATCTCCTCATCCTTACATAGATGAATACTTTGGGTTGTTAGCTGTCATTTTATTAATCCATTCTGATTATTGTTAGAATGAGTATACTATACATATACATACATACACACATACTTTGTGCTGAATGGATTCATATTAATAGTAAATTTCCTTTACATGTAAAAGCAAACTTACAAAATAAAGCTTTTATCAAGCAAGCTTTGATTTTAGGCAGACCAAAGTGGGTGCTTGCCAATTTTTATTTAAAACTCTATTGTTTCTGAAGTGACTTAAGTTCTTTGGGGCAATACAGTTGTTTGGGGATTTGACTTCTGTTATAATCTCCTCTTCTCTCTTCCCTTTCTTGTGAACGGATGATTATACGTCACAATATTAGTAGCTTCCACTTGCTTTTGGCTACGGACAGGACTCCACAAATCACTAAGAAGAATGTGTTTCATTGTTGGAATCCCATTGTTAATAAAACCATATCAGTTGTTCTCCTTTTAGATCTTCAGCAAAATGATAAAACTTTGAATTAATTTTTTAGACTTTTACAACTTTTAGGCCTTTTGGATAAACTAGATTCTGGTTTTCTAGTACATATTAATTTTCCTTCTGCTTTCATCCAGTGGATACTTAAATAACTCTTACTTTGGAGGAAAAAGAAAAACTTTGTACTTATATATTGCAATAATTATGGCCCAAGTAGTAACTAATTTGACCCATAACTATAAGATTCTGAAATTTGGTTCTGACTCCAACCACATTTTAGTCTTTGGTCCATTTAAAATGTTTGTGAACATGCCATTTTCACATGGAAATTTAATAAATTTATCTAACTTAAAGCAGTTCTCTAATATATAATTAATAAATTAGTATGATATAATGATAGACCTCAGTTTAAGAGGCTCATATATCTTATGAAAAAGAGAAATTCCAGAAAATAAGTACTGTGCTTGAGTAGTATCCTATTTTGGAGTAGGATTTAGTTCCATTTTCATTTTTTATTTTGAAAGAAAAGGAGAAATTATATTACATTATTGCTTATATGATTTTTAACATTATCTTGATAATTGGTAATTATATTAATAGAGCCTGAGATGTAATTGGGGCTAGTGTTACTCTTAGGAAGCCATATGCATTGCTTCATTTAGTAGTGCCCCTCTACCAGAAAAACCTCTTATTAGGCTGACATGATTCCTGAAAATCCCAGCATTAGATTCTTCTTCATTTTCATGCATTGGCTTCTACTAAGTCCTTATTAGATATAAATGTGTTACCTGGTTAGGTAATTAGACCATTGCCACCTACTAATATGATGATGAGAAATTGTTTACTAGGCTAGGTGGAGGCAGTGAAACATAGAATTACACCCTTTTGATAGCGGGGAAGAGAAAATATCTAGTGCATGGAGTCAGCATCCAAGAAGAGTGGGCCACAGTAATGTTCCACATTTGAAGGTATCCAGGTAACAAAGGGGTGGTATAACAGCATGGAGTATCAAGGTGAGAAGTTAGGATTAGGATTTATCTCCTGGAACTAAACTTCAGAAAGAACCAATAACAGATGAATAAAACTTACCTATGCCCCATTATGAAAAGACTATACTATTTAACAGTTTCTTCAATAAAACCAAAGGCAGCTTGAGAGCAGGATATTTGAGACCTATCACTGCCCCTAGTCATCTTTCCTGAGGCTCATTTATGTGGTGGAAAACTTGGATTTATTCTTCAGTCTTCTTAGGGCTTCTTTGTCCACAGATATAGATAGATAGATAGATAGATAGATAGATAGATAGATAGATAGATAGATAGATAGATAGATAGATAGACAGACAGATAGATAGATAGATAGATATGTATAATAGTTCCATATAGATAATGAAGTTTAATTGAAGGTCATTAGGTCTAATTATAAAATAATGAGCAGAGACCACTTGCCCCCTCACAAAACCAATTTTATCACTTTTTAATTAATTGTATTAAAAGTTCTAACTTTTTCCTCAAAACAGAAAAGAACAACGCCCTATATCATTAGGAATCTTCCCACTGCCTGCAGGAGATGGACTGCTTACGCCTGATACTCAGAAAGGAGTTGATACACCAGGATCAGAACATTGGAAGTTCCAAGAATTAAGCCAGCCTCGTTCTCATACCAGCCTTAAGGTAAGATTTGCTTAACTCTCCTGCTCAGCACTTACCTCCACCCCTTTATTTGCATATTTTAAGAATTACAGTGTGTGTCAAATAGTAGGCACTTAATAAATGCTCGTTGATTGATTAATTCTTATCCAGGTTCATGTAAGCATTGGATCATAGTTTTAAAAAAATTATGAACTGAAGCAACTTTACAAAAAACGTTCTTAACATTACATGCCTTATAACTCAAGATGTGCTTCTAATTATTATTAATGTACATGCATATGTACATACACATTTAATATGTACATATATGTATTATATATGCTACTTAGTGATATCTTGTGTAGGAGTGGGATTACCTCAATATGCAGACCCATTATTTTGTATGGGATGTGACAGTATATATATATGACAGAAAATAAGACAGTATATGACAGAGCTTCTTAATCTGAAATCTGTGAAGTGTTTTAAGTTTTTTTAGAAAATATTTTGATAACTATTTCAGTAGAATTGGCTTCCTTTATAATCCTATATATTTTATTATTATTCTGAGAAGAGGTTGATAGGCTAAGCTAGACTGCCAAAAGAGTCTAGGACACAAAAAAGGATAAGAACCTCTGACATCAGGCATACCTGGGGAGGAAGTTCACTCAGATGATGCATATTTGCCTCTGCTCTGCAATAGTCTTAGAAAGTTCCCTATAGTGCTCATGTGTCAAGAGAGTTGCTCCAGGTCACATAACTAATAGGTGACAGAGTCAGGGCTTGAACCTAGACCTCTAGTATATCCCAGATATCTTCATATGAGTTTACATAGTTGAAGTTAGTGTGTACATGCTGTTATTTGCTTAATGTTATTTTAAGGACACATTTCAGCATAGATGTCACATACTTACCATTTAAAATGAATATATTTTATTTTATTGCATTACAGTACCCCTACTATACCAAATCTAGCCAGAAGACCAAATCTCAGTCTTCCTGCCTGTTTCTGTTAGATTGGAACTAAGAGTGGTTTTTACATTTTAAAATACATATATATATATATAAAGTTTATTAAATAATAATGCCTCTGTTATTACACTTCACCTTCCTTAAAATGTTCATACATGTAGTGTGTATATATGCTAAGGGTTTCAATGTAATATAAACTATAAAAGTGTAACTTGCATATATTATTAATTTTACTTAAAACATATTATAACAAACTAACATGTATTAGTAATAATTTTGCTCACCTTAGAATTCAGGATGATTTGGATTTTGGTTTTTTGTTTGTTTTTTTTTTAATGGAAAGGTCAAGGAATTAATGCCTTTTTCTTCCCAAATTTTCTTGTAGAAACTTTCAGAATCATTGGCTAAGCTCAGACACTACTATGTGCAGGATAAATATTTTTTCTTGACGATGATGTTGTTGTGTGATTCTCCCTAAAATGCTTTTTGAAAGTAAAGGCTGATATAGTCATTCTCCCTTTTCTACCTCCCTTATCTCCTAAGTTTGTTCAGAATGAGATGTGCAGTTGCTCATTGTCAGGTCAAAGGAAGAACACCAGGAAATGGGGAACGCTGTTAAGTCAGTTTTTGTTATCCTGCCCTACCACAGCCTGCTCTCAATCCATTGTGGTTTTGTTTGAGGGTTTTGCTGAAATGGTTTTGAATATACTGACCATGTCTTCTTTCTTCTCTGTTTCATAATCCTTCCCAAAGGCAGGAACAGAAGTCCTGCCCTACTCTCCCACCTTTGAGGTGCACTCCACCTTACAAAATGAATAAAGAGATTTTTAAAATTTTTTAAAAATTTTTTAAAGAGATTTTTAAAAAATACAACAAACATATCTTCTGTAGAGTAATTGTTTTGTGATACAATATTCAAAATATTCAGCTGTGGCAAAAAAAATAAGTTATCATGGTATGTGTTAAAAGAAATTTGTCTGGCACTTCGTACTTTATTGAATATAATGATAGCGTAAACATTTTACTGGAAAAGATAAAAGCAAGTCAATATCAGACTCTCTCTGATTAAAGAATTGCCAAGACAGTATCCTGACTGCCTGCAAGTTTGTTTTCAGGCTTCAGCTGCCCCAGTAGGGGTGATGGCTGCAGTGTCCAGGAAAAGGCTATGAAAAGGGAGAACAAAGCTATCTTCTCACATTGTAGAATGGGCAAAGCAGAAAAAGGGGAGGGAATATCTGTTATTCCTGGCTTTGTAAAATGTTTTTAATACTGACAGATTTGTATTATTTTGCTTTCTTTTTTAAGTTGCAGACTGTTTTTAAAACTTCTGAACAGCGATTCTGCTTCTTTGTCGAGGCAAATAACTCTTTTGAAGGCCCTACTTCTTGGTTATTTAAAATAACCATTGCTGAGCTGTGTGGCCTTTGGGGTAGATCACTTAATTCCTCTGGGAATCAGTTTCTTTAGGTGTAAAATGAGGAGTTGGTCTAGATCCCTGAGGTTCATTTCAGCTCTGATATTCTACACAAAGACTCTTCGAATTAACTGTGTATTGTGAAGTGGTAACCTATTTAATATGTATATGTTCTGCCTTAAGCAAGGAAGTCTCAGACAAGTATTTTTCAGTGTAGTTTTTTTTAGCCTAGTTTTTCTGTGAAGTCATTGAGATCTAAAATATTTTGAAGGAACAAAACAAAGCAGACCAACAGTAACCAAGGGAACCTAGAGCTAAAAGTGATAGAAAAAGATACTGGCAGCACAGGTGACTTGTCCATTAATACAAAATACGAAGTACTTTCTCTGACTTTCTAATAGAAATTTGCAATTCAGCAGTAGTTATATTCAGATGAAGTTGTAAAGAACACATATTGCTGTTTCTTCAAGTAATTGACCAATGACAAAAAATGCTTAAGCTCACTCTAAGAAGACAGAACGTATTTTATACCTTTACAGTTGACTTATACCTTTACAGTTGACGGTCTCTGATGAAGAGGTGGCCCTTCTTGTCAAGGCTTGGTTATTTCTCTGTATCTCTCTCCTTTTGAAGTTTTCATGACACTACCCTCCTCCCCTCCTCTTTCTTCCTATCTGAATAGTCCTCATTCTTGTTCACTGCATCTTCCTCTATGAACCAGCCACTAACTGTGGGTATTCCTGAAATTTCTGTCCTGAGCTCCCTTCTCTTTTTTCTTCTATGTTTCTCTTGATGATCTCATCAGGCTCTCTGGCTTCAGTTGTTATCTCTATGCTCATGATTCCTGTATCTATATATCTCTGTCTGTGTGTCTATCTACCTTCTTACCTAATCGCTTTCCTGAACTCTGTTATTATATTGCTATCTATTTATTAGATACTTTGCAATGAATGCTTTATAAGCATATCAGCTGAAAATGTCCAAAATAGAGCTCAATTTTTTCTCAAAACCTCCTCTTCTCCCAAACATCTGCCATTTTCCCTGTCATGCTGTCTTGCAACCTTGCTATCATCCTCAATTCCTATCTTCACTCTTACAGATTTCATATAGCTAGTCATTTGCCTAATCTTGCTGTTTCTATAATGCAGCATCTCTCATATACCTCCTCTTCTCTCTAATCAAACAACCACAACCCTAGTTCAGACTCTTAAGATCCTTTGCCTGGGCTGTTAAAAATAGCCACCTAAAATTGTTTTTCCTTCCTTAGACTCTGCTCATTCCACTCTATCCTTTACACAGCTGCCAAAATGATTTTTCTAAAATAACCTCTGACCATATCACACCTCTATTCAGTAAACTCCACTGGCTCCCTGTTACCTCTAGGATCAAATACAAAATTTTCTGTTGGCATTTAAAGCATTTAATAATCTGGTTCCTTCCCACCTTTTTAGATTTCTTACATTCTGCTTCCTGTCACATATTCTACAATCTAACCATACTGACCTACTTGCTATTCCTCATACAGGATGTGCGTCTCTTGTTTCTGTTCATGGGTATGGCCTAGGCACCCCAAACCTAAGATGTCTGAAACAAAAAAGAACTCATTATTTTTCTCTCTAATATTACCCCTACTCCAGACCTCTCTATTTCATCTTTATTGTACCACCATACTTTGCATAACTCAGTTTCGTGACCTCAGAATTGTACTTCTCTTTCTCTCATCCATCATATACATTATGGTGCAGGTCTTACTAGTTTTAGAGGGAGAGACCATCCCCAGAAGTATAGGAGGATTACTTACACTCCCTATTTCTTGTAGTGTCTTAGACCTGCTGAAGACATCAGCTTCCTGTGGGAGGCAGGACTCTCAAAGTATCCTCAATGTAACTGTTGCTACTATCTGCTGAAAGTAAAACTAATCTCCTGAGTGCTTCATTGTGCTAGAGAAAAGAACAGATTAAAACTCCTCCTCCTTATAGCATCCTCCCATCCTTAGCAGTTAGAATTATCTATAAAAGAAATGGGAGAAAAAAGCAAAATGTAACCCTGAACATCTTTTAGGCATAAAGGTAAAAGAGAAAAATCAGTGAAGTGCTTGGAGTGTTTTCTATCTCATTTCCTCTAAGCTAGTGCTCTTGTAAAATTCTAGGAGTACTTGGATTGCCTTTTGATTTGGAACAAATAGCATTCTCTAACATTTGATCTTAAGCTGTCCTCCGATTTCTCGATATAATTTTTTTCCCCATCTGTTTAGTGGGTGCTTTTCAGTACATTTTCTGACTTTTTTTTTACTCCTTTTTTAATACCCTGTCCAATAATTGGTAATATTCTCTTTTTAAAAAATGTTTTTATTTTGTTAAGTATTTTCCAGTTACATGTTAAAAATGTTTAACATTACTTTAAAATTTTTTTGAGTTTCAGATTCCTTCCCCACCCCACCCCTCATAGAGAAGGCAAACAATTTGATATAGGTTATATTCCCCCCTCTTTCAGAAGGCAGGCACTTTAATATTGATTATATATGTGAAGTCATGCAAAACGTATTTCCTTATTAGCCATGTTGTAAAAGAAAAAACAAAATAAAACAATAAAAACAAAGTTTAAAAAAAAGATGTACTTCACTCTGCATTCAGAGTTCATCAGTTTTTTCTCTAGA